CCTGGCTTGGAACTGTGAACATATAGCAGGAGCTCTACAGATGTAATTCTTTTTTTCCATTCCTTCATTTATTCAACAAATATTTTTTTGAGCAGCTAATTTTATGCCACAGATAATGTATTAGTCAGCATAGATCACATTATGCTGCAGTAATGAACACCCCTCTCCCATGTCAGTTGCTTAACACAACAAAAGTTTATTTACCTCACTAACTCAAAGTCGACTGCATAGTTAGATGGCTTTGCTTCCACGTAGCAGTCCAGACCGCCTCCCTCTTTTAACCTAACAGTCATAATACAAGATCTCCACGAGGATTACTGCACCCGAGAAAGTGCTATTCAGAACTACTCTTAGATGCTTCTCCCTGGAAGTGACACAAATCAGTCAGCTTGCAACCCACTGACCAGAACGAGTTCTGTGGCCTCCCCTACTGGGAGGAGTTGACCCTGGAGTTTTCTGTGTGGGTAGAAAAGAACCAGATACTGAGGAACAGAAGTAAAGTCTTCCTCTACTTGGCAAGGCACTGGGTACTTATAATGAACAAACCAGGCATCCTTTATCTTTCCCTCACGGAACTCTCAGTCCGCAGTGACATGCTGCTGGGAAACAATAGCATGGGTAAAGAGCCAGGTTTCTGCCCAGGCAATGCAAGGAACGAGATCAAAGAGATTGCATTCCGTAAGTATAAAGTTATGTGGGAAAATAGGAAAGGGTAACAGTTTAGTGTAAGTGACAAGTATGGAGAACTTAGAAATCCTCAATAAATATTTACTGAACGAATGTTAAATGAGGAATAAGAAGAAATTTAGCTCTACAAAACTAAACGGGAAAGGCAACAGAGAGAGAACAGATATAGGAAGAAAAAACACATGGAAACAGTTTATGCTTTTCGAATGTTCTGAATAATATTTGGGAATAAAAGCTGTTCTTGCTATATCTGCTGCTTCCAGTAAGCCTGAAATATTTCCGTGTTGGTCGCTTCTGTCATAGTTGGGCTGCTGAAGAACTTGTTCCCAGCCAGACTGTTTCATTCTTACCTATTCAATAGTGAGGGGATTGTGGGAAGCCTGGACTTTGACTCATCTTCAAGAATGTTTTTTGATCAATCAAGTTTGCTTGCTGGGCAGCTATCAAATGTAGAGGGTCACAAGAAAGTAGGAATTATGCTACTGTACATACTGAAAATGGTACAACATTAGCCAAAAATCCTATGAATACAATTTTGTGGCAGAATGTTGGGGAGGGGGGTAGTTCCTTAAAAGCATTAAAAATGATTTATATTTAAAAATCTTTATTAAACAATAGAAAACATGGGCAGGGGGAGAAACCTAACACAACCCCTGTTAACATTTTGATATAGTTCATCCCATAATTTTTTCTAGGTACACACGCCCATTTGTCTTACAAAAGCAGTTCATATGATAAATACTAGTCTGTCATTTCCCTTTTACTTAACAGTATTTCTCAGGTATTTTTCCATGTCAAGAGGTATACTTCGATAGCATTTTTTTTTAAGATTTTATTTTTAAGTAATCTCTACGCCTAATGTGGAGCTCGAACTCACACCCCCAAGATTATGAAATCACACGTTCTACCGACTAAGCCAACCAGGCACCCCCCTACAGCATTATTTTTAATGCAATGTGGTATTTAATGCTTTGTGCTAAAATTATAAATATGAGAGCTTCACATTAGATTTCTTAGGAAGACAAATTCATATACTCTGCTAAATGGGTTCAATTAATATCCTGGATGCCGGGATAGATTCCATGGATGACCCATTGGGTATTTGGAATGAGTTCCTCACTCATCAAAATATACTGAGCTCTGCCATTGACTGTCATTCATGCCTTGATATATGGCTCTGGCTAAATATCTGTGCACAGCATCTAATGATCATCTGAATGTTAGGAAATTTCTCATTTTTCTAAAGAGAAAACTGAGAAAAAAAATTAGCAAAATTCACTATGTAACTTTGAGGGACATAAATGAAATAAAGTATCTACTTATAATATATGATCTACTAATTTAGACATAAGTAGTACTTTAAAGCGTGTATCATGTAAAATCATTTTAGCAGTATTGCTCTTTTCCCACCCTTACATTTCATGAAGCAGTTGTAGCCCAACTCCCCCTTCCGTGCATTCTTGACATCAGTATGGAGGTTGCCATCTTTTCAGGAAGCTGGCGTGTTTCCAACACCTGTCATCTGGAACCCCATCTAAGCTGCTTGGGGTGCAAGACTTGGAAAACTGTTATCACTGGAAATCTTTTCCTTAGCTATAAAAACCCACTTACTACTCACAATCTCCAATAACCACTTATTCTGTTACTTTTTTTAGTGATCTTTAAAATACTTGCTTTCAACAACGTCCAACACTTTGAACTATTAGGTCGTGTCTCTCAAAACAATTACTAAGACAATATTAAATTCCTTTGCTTCTGTTTTTACCCGTCCCATCAAGTGAATGACTGCTCCCACCGTCCAAAACTGTTACCACTACGCATTGTTTCAGGTTAATGCAACTTTCCTAAACAGTCTTTTGTTCAAAATAAAGTAATTGAGAGAGTGCCCAGTATTATGAGAGACGTTAAGGAAGGACTTTAGTATAAAATGCCTCTTTTCCTGAGGGATAATTTTGGGGAAGAAAAATCTCACTTTACATTCGTCCATATATTATAGTTTAAATAAGAGAAGGATTCATACAAATCTCTTTTGTGTTCTTATGCAAAGTGACTGTTGAATATGAAAGCTTTTGTCCACCTATAAAAATATCTGTAGAAATGGGTGAACTGCTTTATTTTTCATTTAAGTAAATTGAATAAAAACATGAAACAAATAATACATTATACGTTAAAAAAAAAAAGAAGAAGAAGATAGCAGGAAGGGAAGAATGAAGGGGGGGGAATTGAACCATGAGAGACTATGGACTCTGAGAAACAAACTGAGGGTTCTAGAGGGGAGGGGGTGGGGGGATGGGTTAGCCTGGTGATGGGTATTAAGGAGGGCACATACTGAATGGAGCACTGGGTGTTACATGCAAACAATGAGTCATGGAACACTACATCAAAAACTAATGATGTAATGTATGGTGATTAACATAACATAATAAAAAAATTTTTAAATCGAAAGGATACAGTAGGATTGTAAGGCATTTATCTTGTATGGAAACACTGAAAGTGCAGGTTCATAAAGCCTGCTGCCTTGAAAACACTCATTGGAATCTTTTCAGAACTACAGCTTCTACCCGCTTAAACCTCCTCCCAACCCCAAACCGCATCTATTTTAAGCTTAAAACAAAACAAACAAACAAAACAGCAGGAAATATTTAGAATAAATATTCTCTTGAGGATCTATAGCCAAAATTTTTGGAACTCAAAATGAAAAATTTAGAGAACAGAGTGGCTAGATTTCCCTATAGTTTTACTCTCTCTTTAAGATATATTATGTTATATTGTTTCCATTCTTTTCATCTAAGTACTTCCCAGAGAATCAGACTAAAAGAACATATCACAGATTAGGTGGCAGCTATTTGATTGATATGGTTGAAGATAGCATATGGTGTATTCTTTACTTTCAAACTGTTTTAAGTCTTTCTTCTTGCCCACAGCATATACAGTATATATGAGAACTATCCGAAACCTTCCCAATGGTACATGTATATAATATGCATCATTTTAAAAAGCGATCAAAATTTCACCATTGCGTTTTTTATTATTTGAAGTAAATCAAATCAAGAGATACAGAGCTTAAAATAAGTTGTTACAGATTCTATAAGATCTTATAATTCCGTAAGATTATAAATGCTGTTTTAAAATGTTAACCAGAAGATGCATTTGTTTTAATTCTTGATACTGAAAATATTGACTGAATTGTGATTTAACACATTTAGGGTTGCAGATGTCATTTTTCATGAGATTTCCTGAATGATGTAATTTTCATATTTCATATAGCAGTTTGATCAATTTACAGATTTATTTTACATAATTAGTTGGTAAATGAGAAATTCAATTGCTGATATATAACTATTTCTCTGTAATATAAAAAATAAGTTAAAATTCTGAATTATAAATAAAAACCAAATATTTTGAAGACATCTGGTCCACATCTGTCTGAAATAAGATAATTTAAAACAGTGCAATTAAATGCAAAAAATACTGAAATATTCACACCTTACAGTGTAAAAAATAATTCACTTCATTTTAATGTGATTTCTTGAACTGATGATTTTTTTTTATTTTAGTGTCCTTTAGCCTCTCATTCTCATAAAGAAGACTGACAAGCTAAACAAACAAAAATAATCCATGTTTTTCAAAGCCTCTACTAAATGAAAGAATTATCTTTATTACTATTCTTTTATGAGTTGACTAACCTCCACTCCTGAGTTAATACTCAGCGGACTTAGACTCAGGCCTACCCCCTTTTGATGTATTTATAATTCTCCATTCAATTATTTAAAATGAGAGATTAGTGAGAGAGTCTGTAATCTTGCTCCCTAAATTGTGCGTTCCTTGTGGGCACAAAGGGGCTCAGTAAATGTGAGAGGAAGGTATTCAGACCCATGAAAATGAAAAACATCTTTGGTACATTCTCATGATCAGTAGAGAATCGTCCTTTGAAGACTGGTCTTTTCTTTTGTTAAAAACCCATGTTAAGTGGAAAATTAACCATTTTAGAGAAAGGAAAATACACTAGACTTTCTATAGTCTAACCAAAAAAATGTGAAAAACAAGATAGATTTCTCCTTTAATAAAAGGCTGCAGAGCCTTAAGATTTCAAAAGAACTGGGTTTTGATTCATGAGAGAGAAGTTACATTCATGAAATCACTCAATGCTGATGCTACAATTTAAGGTTATAGGGGGAAATCTCCGCTTGGATGCCCGAGGCTCCCTTAACTAGCAACAGACCACAAAAGGAATTGATACTGTGAAAAGGGAAAATATTGTTTCTAACACACCCTAAGGTTTCACAAGTAATATTTTGTGTGTTTATTTCCAGGGAGCATGATAAAGATCCAGAGAGTTTTTTCAAAGTATTAATGCACCTTAAGGATTTAGGACTCAATTTCCATGTGTCTGTCCTTGGAGAAACCTTCACAGATGTCCCAGGTATCTCTTTTGAATTTTCTAATGTGTAATTTTATAGATGACATAAGCTCTACAACTTAAGTATTAATTTCCATGTTTCCCTTTGTTAGAATAATCAAGATGAGCACTGTTAACCGAAAGATTATACGATGGCATTAAAGTGTGATTCAATTAAAAAAAAATACTTAAGTAAGCATTCTTTGATTTAAGTTGAGAACGTGAAGTCATCTCTTTTATCAAATATAGTTTATAGAATGTAACTTGATGTAAATAAAATATATTGCTTTAGGCATCTTAACACTTAAGGAAAGTGGGAATTTGTAATTGGATATACAACCTCTCACCCCTGAGGTCACTGGTTTGAATCCTACTCACATTGGTAATGGCTAAAATACATGACCATCTGTTAGGTGGACTGTGTAAAGCATTTTGGCATCAGACTTGTAATGTGGAGTAGCCCACAGTCTACATCTAGTTGTCATTGGCCCATGCCGTTTTCATCGAGTTGTGGAAACACAAAAATCTGAACCTGATGGCAGCAGGTCTTCTCATTCTTAATGCCACACAGAGCCTCGTCAGAGCCATTTCCTTCGCCCTCATCCTCAGTGGGCATGTTTGGGTTATATCAGTTAGAATATTAGTACAATAGTGATTTGACATTTGTATACATTGCGGAAACAGTTACTACTATAAATCTAGTGATCATCTGTCACCTTCCAAAGTTCATACAATATCACTGACTGTACCCCTTTGTTGTACATTACATCCCCATGACTTACTTATTTTGTAAATGCAAGTTTGTACCTCTTAATCCCCTTCATCCATATCACCTCCAACCCTACTCCCCTCTGGCAACCACCAAACTGTTCTCTGTATCTATGAGTCTGGGATGTTATGTTTGTTTGTTTTGTTTTGTTAGATTCCACATGTAAGTGAAATCATACAGTATGTGTCTTTCTCTGTCTGACTTATTTCAGTTAGCATAATGCCTTCAAAGTCTACCATGTTGTTGCAAATGTCAAGATGTCATTTTTTATGGCTGAGTAGTATTCCTGTGTGTGTGTGTGTCTGTGTGTGTGTGTGTGTGTGTGTCTGTGTGTGTGTCTGTGTGTGTGTCTGTGTGTGTGTGCCAAGTCTTCTTTATCTTCTTTATCATCTGTCATTGGACATTTAGGTTATTTTCATATCTTAGTTATTGTACATAATGCTACAGTGAACATAGGGGCACATATATCTTTTTAAATTAGCATTTTTGTTTTCTTTGGATAAATACCCAGAAATGGAATTGCTGGATAATATATTGGTCCTATTTTTAAATTTTTGAGGAACTTCCATACTGTTTTCTGTAGTAGCTGCACCAACTTACTTTTCCACCAACAGTACATGAGTATTTCCTTTGCTGCACATCCTCACCAACATTTGTTATTTCTTGTCTTTCTGATAATAGCCATCTTGAGAGGTGTAAGGTGATATTTCATTGTGCTTTTGATTTGCATTACCCTGGTGCTTAGTGATGTTGAGCATCTTTTTCATGTGCCTATTAGTCATCTATATGTCTTCTTTGGAAAAATATCCATTCAGATCCCCTGCCATTTTTTAATTAGATTGTATGGGTTTGTTTGTTTGTTTGTTTGTTTGTTTTTGGCATTAAGCTGTACATGTTCTTTATATAGCTTCAGTATTAACCCCTTATTGGATGTATGACTTACAGATATCTTCTCACATTCTCTGGTTGCCTTTCCAGTTTGCTGATGGTTTCCTTAGCTGTGCAGAAGAAGCTTTTTAGTTTGATGTAGTCCCATTTGCTTATTTTTGCTTTTGTTTCCCTTGCCTCTTGAGTCAAAGCCAAAAAAAAAAAAAAAAAAATTAGTAAGGCTGATATGAAGGGGCTTACTGCCCATGTTTTCATCTAGGAGTTTTATAACTTCAGGTCTCCCATTTGAGTCTTTAATGCATTTTGAGTTAATTATTATGTATGGTGTTATAAGAGAGTGCTCCAGTTTTATTCTTGTGCAGGTAGCTGTCCAGTTTTCCCAACACCATTTGTTGAAGAATCTATTCTTTCTCCATTGTATATTCTTGCCTCCTTTGTTGTAAATTAATTGACAATATGTGTGTGGGTTTATTTCTGGACTCTGTATTCTGTTATATTGATCTATGTGTCTGTTTTAATGCTGATACTGCACTCTTTTGATTACTATAGTTTGAAATTGGGGAGTGTGGTACCTCTAGCTGTGTTCTTCTTTCTCAGGATTATTTTGGGTATCATGTTCTTTTGTGGTTCCATACACATTTTAGAATTACCTGCTCTAGTTCTGTGAAAAATGTCATTGGAGGGGCGCCTGGGTGGCTCAGTCGTTAAGCATCTGCCTTCAGCTCAGGTCATGATCCTGGGGTCCTGGGATCGAGCCCCACATCAGGCTCCCTGCTCCGCAGGAAGCCTGCTTCTTCCTCTCCCACTCCGCCTGCTTGTGTTCCCTCTCTTGCTGTGTCTCTCTCTGTCAAATGACTAAATAAAATCTTTAAAAAAAAAAGAAGAAGAAAAATGTCATTGGAATTTTGATAGGAATTGAATTGAATCTGTAGATTGCTTTGGGTAGTATGGACATTTCATGAGCATATAATATCTTTACATTTATTTGTGTCTTCTTCAGTTTCTTCACGAATGTTTTATAGTTTTCAGTTTATAGGTCTTTCACCCTCTTGGTTAAATTTATTCCTAGATATTTCATTCTTTTTGGTGTGATTATAAATGGAATTGTTCTCTTGAATTTTATTTCCAATAGTTTGTTATTAGTGTATAAAAATCATTTTTATACATCAATTTTGTATCCTGCATATTTACTGAATTCATTTATTAGTTCTAACAGTTTTTGGTGCCGTCTTTAGAGTTTTCTACATATAGTATCATGTCATTTGCAAATAGGGACAATTTTACTTCTTCCTGTCCAGTTTGTATGACTTTTATTTCTTTTTCTTGTCTAACTGCTATGGCTAGGACTTCTAGTACTATGTTGAATAAAAATGACTAGAGTGGGCATCCTTGTCTTGATTCTGATCTTAGGCAAATTCTTTAAAAAAAAAAAATCTTATTATTAAGCAATTTTCACACCCAGCGTGGGTCTCGAACTCACAACCCTGAGATCAAGAGTCACATGTTCTATTGACTGAGCCAGCCAGGCACCCTTGATTCTGATCTTAGAGGAAAAGCTTTCCACTTTTTAGATTTTCACTGTTGAGTATGATGTTAGATGTGGGTTTGTCATATATGGCTTCTATTATGTTGAGGTACATTTCCTCTATACCCATTTTGTTAAGAGTTTTCATAAATGAGTAATGAATTTTTTCAGATGCTTTTTCTACATTTATGAAGGTGATCATATGATTTTTATTTTTCATTCTGTTAAGTGGTGTATTACATTGAGTGGTATTCAGATGTTGAACTTACCTTGCCTCTCTGGAGTAAATCCCACTTGATCGTGGTGTATGATTCTTTTAATGTCTTGTTAATTCAGTTTGCTAATATTTTGTTGAGGATTTTTGCATCTATGTTCATCAGGAATATTGGCCTATAATGTGTGTGTGTGTGTGTGTGTGTGTGTGTGTGTGTGTGTGTGTGTGTGTGTGGTGTCCTCCTCTGCTTTTGGTATCAGAGTAATGCTAATTTCACAGAATGAGTTTGGAAGCTTTGGTAGGAAGTGTGGTAGACTAGAACCAAAGTATAGAGGTTCTTGATAACTGAAGTAGATTAGGTAAAAGTAAGAAATAAGGAACCTAGATCATGAACAGGAAAGAAATGTGATGAAACTTGTATTTTAGGAAGCTTTATCTTTCAGTGGTATGTAGGCAGATTCACAGTAAGACACTACAGTGGTAACCCAAGTGTGATTCTTGAAGTGGTGGCTGAGAGATTAGTGAGAGGGATGTAGGACAGAGATATTCTCAAGGAAAGCACAGAAAGGAATTTTGAAGACGGATAGCTGTAGAAAGAAGGAAGAAAAATTCTGCTCATTTACAAAGCTGGTGAGTTTTGTTTGCGGCAGCATTGAGGTATTTGTGGATGGACTGAGAAGTGTGACTGGAGGAAGTCCCTAAGCAGAAGGCTTCTCAGCCAATTTTACTATTGGCTAGTTTCAAGCCACCACTACAGAAAAGACTAGGATTTTACACAGGGCCATGTTCTTGGGATCACAGTCTCCCTTCCCCCTCATTAACACTGAGCTATTTAGAGCAGTACGGAGGGTTAAAAGTAGGGTGTGGAGCCTCAGGGGCCCAGGTACTGAGTGCTCAGTCGTTATAGGTCTAATCTTATTACTCAACTTTGGCTTGACGGTAGCGTACACTTACTGAGCACTGTAGGAGGGGAATTCCACAGTGAACAAGACTCAGCCTCCACCTTCAGGGAGCTCTGCCTTGGGCAGATACTTACATTACAATTAACAGGTACCCAAGGTGTTGTGAAATAATTAGGGCATGCTGTGGAAGCCCACAGGAAGGGGTATCATGTTATCTATGATATTTCCAGTCTCAGCTGGGGCTCTTTCTGCCTTAGCTTCTTGTCCATCTCTGTCATTCCAAATGTGAGTCAGCTTTCTTCATGGCTACAGCAATTCACCTTGTACATAAGAGGATTCCAAGTTGTTGTATGGACAAATGAGCCTGGTAGCTTTCCAGGTTGTGTTCCTAGAAGGCCACCTTGCCAATCTTTACTCTGAAGTTTTCCTAACAGGCCATTTTATGTATTTTCAGCCATTCTTATTATTGTTTTGGTTTAGCAAACACTTACATAACACTCACTGTATCCCAGGCATTGTTCTAAGCAATGTACAAATATTAAGTCTAATTTCTCATAACAGTCTTGTTCAGTATTACTGTCTCCATTTTTCTCAGGTGGTGAAAACTGAGGCAAAGAGAAATTAAGTAAGGTCACATAGCTAGGTAGTACTTTTTACTGCTATGCTAATGGCTTTCTGTGTTCTTGTTTTCTGAACCGTTTCTCTAAGTTTAAACATTATTTTTTT